TGTTTTACAGTTTTTTTTAAATACTGTAACTGGTCCCCAAACCCCGTTAAATACCCCTAACCAAAAGTAACTAGTCCTCAAACCCCATTACAATGCCTAATCAAAAACCTATATAAAAAATCTCATTAAAATTTTGGAAATTCATAAAACTGATATTTAGAATATTGTTGGTGATGTATCTAATTCAGTAAAATTCCAACATTGATTAAAGACAACTCAAATAATATAATATTATATTTTAWTGTATATTCCTCTTATTTACAAATCTGCTATCTGCCAATCGCACATATTCAAGCTATAATAGCAAGTAATCCTTACAAGTTGAACGTCCTCAGCCAACCGTTTTATATCCAATAAATTTAAATAGTTATTTTGACCATCTAATAATTCAAAATATGTAAACAAATCATTTTCAAAATCATTAAATTATTATTTTTTGTTCAACAATTTAAAAAAATATATATCAGCCACGTCGATCCGTCACCCCGATTACCCTCTTTTTTATCATAACACCTCTGTAAAGTAATATCTTATGCATTTATGAATGTTAAAAGCAAAATGATATTTATAATAAATAATTACACATTTTTTCTTTTTTTATTTAAAGGTTTATAGGCTTCAACTGCTATGGTTATTAGCCACATTTTTTTTTTTTTGAGAAAAATATGAAAAAAAAGATTACAATATTTGATTAATTATAGGTTATTTAAGTAAGTTTACGATTTAATGTGAGCTTAAACTATATTTTATGGATAAGGTTGTCTTTGGTGATGAATCGGATGATTTTTGGAGTAAATTCTACGTTGATGGCTTCTTTGATGTTGGGTGGGAGGTTGAGAAGTGTGTGAGTTGGCTCGTGTATTAGGCATTCTTCAAAAATATGTCTTATGGTGATACGAGTTTGACATGTGTTGCATATAGGAGGTTGGTCTTTACTGATAAGAAAGGAGTGTGTAAGAAAGGTGTGGTCGATTCTGATGCGAGTGATAGCAATATTTTGGCGTCGGCTGAGGTTCGGGGCCCGCCTAGCCTAGAGCTAGATCTCTCACATTCGACCAGTTGGCGTGTCCTAAGACGTTGTTTGACATCAATGGCGTACCAAATACAACTGTTACAACTTAAAAGCCCTTCTATCGGATGACAAACAAAAAGGGATTGATTTTTGCAATTTCATATCCGAAGAACAAGAAGAAGATGAGTAATTTTTCTCACACATTGTTTTTTCGGACAAAGCCACTTTTCATCTAAGTGGAAAAGTTAACCGCTCTAATGTCAGGATTTGGGCTATAGAGCAATCATACGCAACTGTTGCGCATCAAAGGAATTCATCAAAAATCAATGTTTTCTGCACAATTTTCAGGAAAAATGTTTATGGTCCATTTTTTTTTTTTTTTACGAAAACCCAAAAGCGGTTAACACATATCTAAACATCTTGAAAACATTATTGTTCCCACAGTTATAAGTGGATAGTGATGAGTTTGTTTTTCAACAAGATGAAGCACCGCCGTACTGGAAAGTTATAATATATCACCGGTATTTTGACAGTGAACTCTCTCAGTGGTGGATTGGGCGTCAAAGAAACGACGATTTGGGGTTTCATCCCTGACCACCATGTTCACCTGATTTTTTTCATGGAGCTACGTAAAAGAAAAATTGTATGTACCAACATTACCTACAAACTTGGAAGAGCTTAAAATCAGAATCAAAAATGCTGTTAATGTTATAATACCAGATATGATCAGACATTATTTATAAAGTATTTGATTACCGTATTAGATGTTTATCTGGTGATGGCTGGTGGGGGTGGTGGGGATCATATTGAACATTTGTAACCAAATTAAATACAACTTGACTATTTTAAAAATATATTTTACTTTATTTCACTCTTATATCTTCATTTGTAATATAAATATAAATTTTTGAAATCGGATGAAGACTTTTGTTACATCCTGTATATATTATCTACATCTAATAAATCTGTACATAAAATATGTATTTATTAGTAACTGGAGTTGTTTGGGTAAATGTGGTTATGTAGTGATGCTCAAATATGCCATATTATAAAAGTTTAAGTTTTTTTTATCAACTCTAATTATTATTATGAATTAATTATGAAAAAACTGAGATAATAATATTTAAAATGTAATTTTATTATATTTAAGGAACAAAATCAACAAACGAAACGTGTTGAACAATTTGTTACTTATACACAATTCAAAAACAGCTAGTCAACTCCATATTTTTATTTTAATAATAATTAAGCCTCTGCGTACCTGGGTTTTACGTATTGGGTGCAATACCCAATTTGTTTGTGGAATTTTATCTAAAATTTAACAATTGCATAAAATATATTTTTTAATTGAGTTATTTTGGTGTATTGGGTCCGTCAATTGGTGAAATTACTTTTTTTTTTTGTTGAAATTATTAGGTAAACTTTTGAGTACATATCTTAGGTAAAAAAATTATAACAGGTAGGTATACATATTTCATTCTTGAATGAATAGTTTAGCATAGGTAAGTGAAAGTACTCATACTCTATTTAAGTTTCATTTTGTATAAAACGTGTCAAATTAAAGTGGTGAAAAAATGTACTGGTACTTGAAAAATAACATATTAATGGTATTTACTATGTAATATTATGTATTGTGCTTAATATGTACGTATCTAAATGTTTTTTATAATTTATATGCCATCAGAAAGATTTTTTTTTTATTTATTAATTTAATAGTGTTAAATCACCAGGTATTTTTATAATTATATGTACTATATACGATTAATATGATTACAATATTATGTTTATGACATAATTTATATTTTTACATTGATTTTAACTATGGTTAGCTTATAATTCTATGTTAGAATCTGAGATTGGCGTATCTTCTTTAGGTTCTAGTAGGATATCCTGTGGTAGMCKAGGTTTAAGTCTTAGATTGGTGGATCTTCTGCTGATTTTGAAGTGGAGTGCTCCATCAACTTTGTGAAGTTATCGTGGAAATTTTTTAATTGTTGTGATATTCATTAAATATGTGTGGTAGGACCGAACCATTATGTATTTGTTTATCAGAATGATTAAAATCATTAAATGAGATAAAATACTTTCTAAGAAAAACATTCTTGAAATCCTGCAGAAGTGTATAGTTTCTGCTATGTTCAGGCAATTATAGCAGAAAAATATGTACTTACCTCTTATTTTTCCGCATTTATTCCGCTTTTTAATATTTCCGGGAAAATTGCTCAGAAATTTAAAAAAAATAAAGTTTACAAAACTATTCGCTATATATTAATTATATTGTATACCTAATAAAATACAAAAGTCTTTCGATAAAAGTATTCAACTTAATGTGTATTTTGGTAAATGGAAATAATCATAAAAATTTGTGTGTGGAGGAGTTTGAGTAATATTGATCATAAAATGTTAGAGGTCATGGTATAAAATGGTTGTACAACACTGTCATATTATGATATATGAACATATTTAACTGATAAAAATACCCAACGTCACTAATATATACTTGAAATACAACACGTTTAAAAGATTAGAATTTTCAAATCGTTTTTCATTGAGTAAAATATAAGTTTTCGGAATACAATAATTTCATTCGATGTGTATAACATTTACATTATAAACCAATAATTACAACAAACACTTATATATGTTTTCACCCTATGAAACGCAGATCGAATTAAGCCAGTATTTGGTGACACCAGATAAAAATTTAAGGTTTTTGTATTAATATATTTAAGAAAACGAATGAAGTAATTCATTTGTTCACCTGAGAATGACTCCATTTGAATTCTTATTTGGTTATAAATAGTGTAACGTTGAAATGGTAAAATTATTTTGCTTTATACTCATATCTTACGGGGGTAAGTAAATTGGCCCGAGATAAGTTTAATATATCTTGAAAGTGGTAAATTGAGTACCAAGAAAAAACGGGTTAGGTAGGTAAGTTGAGTCCCGTGAAATATRTACGAATTACATATATACATAATGTATTATTATGTACTTGCTAAAAAATTAATTAATATTGATTTAATAAACTCAAATCGGGTTATAACATTAGTGGTGTATACGCTCATTTGCTCACCTATATAGTAATGTAATGTAATGAAATTTATTTTTATAAGATATATAATAATGTACCTATCTATTAATAACGATGATTAAATTTATTTTATTTTTTCTATTAGTAGCCAGGACCAACAATCTTTTTTCCTAGAGACCCAACTTACCTAATACCTATTTTTTCCCTGAACCCAACTTACCTATAACCAGATTTCTTCCAAGGACTCAATTTTCCGAGTAAGAGTCTTTTGGGGCCCAATTTACCAATCCCGTATCTTATAAGTACCTATGTAGGTCGATAATCATTGTTGGAAAACGTTAGATAGTAACAAGGGGGACTTACTTCAAACCCCTTCAAAATAGCTTTAAGCTCCGACAAAAACGTGTAAAAATAATTGTAAAATTTTTTCTTAGTAAATATAATCTGTAGTCCATAACAACCATTATATTATAAAAATTATATTTTCAAAAATATTTTCATAGTTTCTTACCAAGAAAATATTTTGATAGAAAAAATTCCAAATGTTCCGTAAAGTTCTTACATCTGTCATAATTTTGAAACGAAATTATAAAAAGAAAACTTTGAGTTTATTTTTTTTGTTAATGCAAAAAAAATGTCAGATTATTTGAAAAATACACCTCATTATAAGATACTCAAAAATCAATAAATTTTTGCTCTACTCAAAATCTAAGATGTATACTGAACCTACTTGTAGCGCAAGCGTCCATAAACTATAGATAAATATTAATATTAAAATATCAATTAGACTAAAGTTATTTCATTTATCAGATCATTCTGTTACACCTTGTATATTATATGCAAATATAGGGAGATTTTGTGAGATAAAAATAATATCAACACAAATCAATATTAATATAACAACAAAATATAGCAATTAATTATTTATTAACGAATGAAATACAAAACTACAAAAAAAAAATAATAAAATAGTGGAAAATATTCGATCTAATGTTTAATAATATAATGTTTGGTAATATTTATGAGAAAAGAAATCTCGGTGAATATTTAGAGAGTAACATATTTCATGTGATGCAAATAGACATAGGTACATAATGATAGCAACATAAATTTATAATTTTATAAGCCGTGCTGGTGGTTAATTAATGTGGTCATCGTAGTAGAATCCGTTGCCAGAATCGTAGGATAAAACATTTGGTGGAGTAAAATCGTCGTTGAAACCCTGTGAAAATTAAAACAAGCAAATTCATTAAAATATTGCAACAGATGTTGTAATTTTCAGGTGTTTAAAACACTACATTATTTATAGGTAGTTATTAAAAATAATTCATTAAAGAGTTAAATAGTTAAATTATCAAAAATTGAAAACTTTAATTTCATCAACTTTTTAATAAATCCATTTTTTATACATCATGCAAATTACGTCATAATTCCGTAATATTACAATATTACAATTTCATATAGTCTATGATTTAATATAGTACGTAGATGTGTGTTTCTTTTGATTAGTTTTGTAATCGTTCAATTTACAGTCTTACGGTAGCAATTTGGTTATAAATAGTTGTGTATATTATAGCAATGAKAACAATTATTAGCGAGCATGTTAAATTTAAAAATGATATTATTTTTTAATCGACATTCAAAATTAATTTGTTGATGAATGAGGTCATCAAATCAATAATTTAAAATGCGATTATTAATATATGGTAAGGATATCATTATAAAGTTAAGGCAGATTATTATTTTATTTTTATTTCCGATTAGAAAATGGTGACTCAATTTTTCAAGTAGCTGACGACGATGAAATAAATGATTTTTAACTTACAACAGGTATATAGAAATATGATAGTATGACAAAAATTTACTGTAAAAATAGTATTCAACTTCTGGGTACAGGTACAGATGCTTAAACTTCAAGATTTAAGGTGATTTTAACAGGTTAGTATTTTCACACATTTTTATCGTTTGTATTTTGAATGGATCGTACAATTTTCATGGTTACAAATAGTTGAAAAATAATAGTAGCAATTTGAAGGTTCATCGTCGGACGCACACTAATGAGAAACCATACGCATGTGATGTGTGTGACAAGTCGTTCAGTCAAAATTATAATTTGAAAGTACATAAGCAGACGCACTGTGATCGGGATTTGTATTTATGATAGCCAATGCCCTATATTACTGTTTAAAAAAGAATAAATCATTTTAAATATTTTTGAGTAATCTTAGAGTAGAATGATCCGTTATAAATATGATAGAGAATAATATTGTTCAGTTTATGGCCTATATTTTTGTCTAAATATTATTTCAAACAATTTAAATTTACAAAAATTGTTGTTTAATGTCGAATAAAAAGTCAAATAATAATGAAATAAACACTCGAAAAAGTTATTCTCTATCATTTTTGTATTTGGTAACTCAAGATAACTCAAGAACCGAAAAAAAAACTATTTTAGTATTTTAAGCRAAAGCATTTTATCTGTGTTGTGCGTGTGGTTGAAAACAAATATTAATATGACATCACCTTAAATGCTTGTACTATAAGTAGTTTGTTCATATGTACTTATTATATTTTTTAACCCTTATCATATCATAATATATCATGAGAAAGCTTTTATTAAATTTTCAAGCTTTTTCACGCTTTGAAAAATTATTTTACTACATTTATAGAATAAAAACTAAAAGGAACTAAACAATTTCCAATGATTATAAATAACTCAAAAAGAATTAAAACATTTTTAAAAGTTTATCATTTATAAAAATTTGTCTTATAAACATTTGGTGAAAATTTTAAGTCTTCAATGATTTTTTTAAGAAACACTACAAAAAAATATGATTTTATACGATCATCTTTTATTTTTAATTAAAAATTAAAAGAAGGGAAATCACCTGGTTACGACCTAACTACCAATTAAGTCCTGAAAAATCTTCCTCACAAACCCATTCTACTAACTAATTTTATCTTAAACGCCATGCTAAGACCATCATATTTCCCGCTAATATGGAAGTTGTCAACTGTAATACTTATACCAAAACCATTTAAACCAAAGACTCTAGCCACCTCCTACAGGCCGATAAGCTTACTTCCAACTCTAGCTACACTATTCGAAAAAATAATAGTCAAGGGAATCAGACCTATTATGCAAACTCATAAAATTATCACAAACTCTCAATTTGGTTTAACAGCAAAACATTCTACTGTCCACCAAATTCACAGATTGACAGACAAAATATCATCTTCCTTCGAAATGAAGCAATTTTGTCTTCGTGTTTTCCTGGACGTAGCGCAAACTTTTGATCGCCTGTGGCATGAAGGCTTATTTAATTATTCACTCATACCTTGAAAACCACTCCTACAAAATTCGATATGGAAGCTCATAATAATTACACTTTTGGATTAAAGCTGGTGTACGCCACCTGATCTATTCAATATATATAATATATATACGGCTGACATACCAGTTACAACAAACTCCATCATGACTACTTATGCAGACTACACCGCAATACTTTGTGCTAATAATGACCCTGACGAAACATCCAACTACATTTAGATTCCATCGACAACTGGGCAACCAAGCGGCGAATAAAAATAAATCCAGACAAATCTGTTAAAGTACCGTTCACTTTAAAAAGAACAGAACATCCACGTGTTCACTTTCAAAGAACCCAAATTCCATTACCTCCTAATGTCTCAGCATTACACTTGATAAAATATCAACTTGGGGCCCACATTTTAAGTTAAAAATAAAACCCTAAACAGCCGCCTTCACTTACTCGTTAGGTTAGTCGATAGGTTAACAGTTCGATTTTAAAGTCAAAACTACCAATATACTCCAAGCTTATTGTTTATACATTTTTCTTGCGACCAATATGGACATATACAATCCAAATTTAGGGCTGTGCTTGGCCACCCCAAATTCGCACCATACAAGCATTCCAATCCATTACGCTTCGTATGATAACGTCTGCACCTTGGTTTGTATCTAATTCTTCACTACACTCTGCCTTAAAAATCGAGTCAGATKACCAATAATTAGCCACCAAACATTACAGATCTTTCTATTTCAAACTACCTTCCCTGCCAGTGAAGATGTTTGTTGATAACCGAAATATAACTCCAGTGTTCAGGATTTGTTGTGCGGCCCTTTAGATGTCCCGCCCAGCGAGAACGACCGGCTACAGGCTGCCTCCCAACSCGCCACTCAGTCCTTTTACGATATGGTTGACAACATCTTAGCTGTAAGGAGCATGATGAAAGGATAGCTGAGACCGAACGAAGAACGAATGCATTGGCAGCGGCTCCAACAGACTGAGCACACGAAGATGCACTCTACAGCGGACCTCGATTACTGACGGACTTTATTTATATTTTGTATTTGATTGTATTATATTGTATTGTATTTATTGTATTAATATTTTATTTTTAAGGCGAAGCATCATAATTATGTATGTATGTATATGTATTAGCGTTTAATTAAACATTAATAAACGATGGCAGCAGGGGAGTAGTAATGTTCACACAGATCCTCCCCTGCTGTCGGTTCAAACGGAAAAAAAAAAAAAATCTACCTTCCCATCCTAATCCATTAGTATCGCAAATCTAATCTACTCAACCCATAAATCCCATCCATAGGCTCAAAAGAAAATATTGCAGAGATTTGTTACTTTAAAATAAATTCACGTTGGATTCCATCACTAGTTTGCCCCCCCCCTCTTCACATTATTCAAAGTTATAATATTGTACATAAATTATCCTATATTTACTTATTGTGGTGTCAAACCCAAATTGTAAATATCAAAAAAAAATAAAAAATATCATCTTTTAATAGTTATAGATTTAATATTATAGTGAGTCACACAATCAAGAAGTGTCGTTTGAATAAAATGCGATTAAATTTATTTTGGTGATATTATATTTTAATACTTTATAAATCATGTTGTCTTATGCGTGGGCAAAAGAACTTGTCAAATTTTAATAAATTCTTACAAAACTTTATCTTTCTTTCCACAAAATTATTATACCTTCTATAAATTTAATAATTTTAAATTTTAAAATATTTACTTGATAGGCAATCATTTTTTTCGTATTTTAAATGATATTATCATATATTGTTCTAATTTTAAATGTTATCATCTATCATATTCACATCAATTTGTTTTTAGATAGTTGAACTAAATCGGTGTAAATAACTTAAAACGTTTCATATAAATTGTGATTTTCGTAACCATTTAATATAGTTTAAATTATTTCGATGATAATATTTACTATTTTGTAAATAATATTTTGTTTTTAAAAACGATAGTCAATCTGCACCRAGAGTAATATTCGGCACATGAAAAAAAAATCGTAAATAAGAGCGGAAGGTGTCGTCAAAACTGTAGGTATAATTATATTAAAATTATTGTCAATAATACCTAGTTATTAATGAACCAACACCGCATAGAATCGATAGCCCGTTTCCGTGGAACCTACCAACTTACTACTCCTCTTTGTTCTCCTAGGTCTCGATCTAAACGTAGGTACCTACTGGTTGACATATATGATAATATTGTAATACGCGTAAAACATGTAAAACGTAATATTCGCGTAACTCAATACTATAAATTATGATATTATTATCGCGTTTCAAAAACAAAGACAATCGTAACATTGTTGTGTGGCGGTCTACGTGATGACAGCTAGGTATATTTTTATACTCATACGCACGCAAAAAACCAATACGCACACTCATCAGTCATCAGTGCAACTATATTATAATAACATAATATAATAATAATAATAATAATACGATGAAAATAGAAATAATAATAAATTAATTAATTATTATGCAACAGGTCGTTCATGTGTGTGCGTGCTATGATCGCGCGTCGAAAAAAACTTCCCGGACGACGGAGAAACTTAGCTGCAGCTGAGACTATAATATAATAATATTGTGAGMAGGTACCACCAGGAAGGCAGGAAATTTGTTACTGTAACATTCTATTATCGTTTTAATAATATTATTATTATATAGTTCTCGCCTTGAACGCAATATAATATCGTAGCAGCCGCACTACAACAGTTGCGTTTAATCAGTAATTGTGTGACGTAAACTTATTTTACGAATCAGCCACAGGTTTATATTCATCGGTATGAATTTTGCAAAACAACATTTTTGAAGAAAAAAAAATGACATGATATTTTACTGAGTACTTCAATTTATACCTAAAACTGTTTCAAATGTTGGATGAGTATAGTTAATATTATAAGTAGGTACCTATTTAAAGTTTACATGAACAGAGTATAGTGAACAAACATTTTCCGGAGTACCTACCATCACTGACGTAAGGCTGAGCTGTACGACTCTAATTCTCTCGTGGCCTCATCTAAACTTTAAATATTAATATAACTTATAACTAATTAACAACTCGTCAGAAAATTATGTTTTCAATACAGTTAAATACTTCGCTTGCATCAGAATATGAAATTGAAAACGTATATCATTCAAAAAATTAAAAAACAACTTTAAAAAAAACAACAATGACAAATAATCGAAAAAAATAACGATTTTGAAAAAAAATGTTGAAGCTTCTAAATAACCTTGTATGCTATAATATATTATATTCGTTTGGCCCAAGCACGACAGCGACTGCGCAGTGGCACGTATTTTGTTTGCCATGCGGAAGAATTATTATTATTATACATTGATCTCATAATATGGCATAATATACAAATACATATTGTATTTTTTATTGGATTATACATTTGATTAAATTCTGGATTTTTAAATTTTTTATAACCTATGAAATTCTCATATTATGAGAGAGATTGAACGAAAAAGACTATAAAAATGTTCTAACTGCAGGAAACATTATTCGTTCATTAATAATTGTATGTGGACCTATAGCTATAGGCGTAGTAATTACGTTAACTATTAGTATTTAGTCTCTATATTCGCTACACAGAATTTATCATTATAACTTAATATTTATTTTACTTCAATAAATGACAACATACATTTTTAATTCTCTATTCAAATACAATTACAAGTAGTTCCTTAAAAGTTACACAAAATAAACACTTATATGCGAAATAAAATATTAGTATTTAAATCTTGACAAGAAACAAATTTGAAATCTAAGAATCCAAGAATCCAAGAAATAGGACAAACTAAAAACATGCAAAATCACAAACATTCGCTTTACTTATAAAGTTATATCTAATAAACTACTAGGTTAAAATTCAATTTTTACAAATCAATATACTAAATATTATTTTGCTTCAAGAAAAATAAATTTGTTCAAGATTTCCTAGGACGTTGTTATATTATTTTTGTAGGTCATAAGATATTCAGAGCACTAGCTTTCATAATAATATACATTTTTTAGTTTTAATATTAGGCTACACTAGCATAGAATGTAGTCGACTTTAATAGGGATTTTCATAATTTATATCTAATACATAATTATTAGCTGTTAATGTATAAATGAGTATGATTTTTGAGTTTTCAGTAAAATTGTAAAACTTAACATGACCTCGAACAGTGAAAACATTGAGATTCATCAAACCACTCAACTCCTTTTATTAATTAATAATAAATTAATTCAACTTCTAACTTTCGGAATTTTTAAGTATACCTTTTTAAGACTGTACTTTTAAATATTTAGATTTTTTATATCGTTTATGTAATACCCTGGGGTGATTTAAACTTATTTTTTTATGAGTAAACTACCGTTTTTATTGAATTATTTTTTACAAGGTTGGCGATACTAAATTAAAATCAAACTACTTATTTTATTTATACAGTAGGTTAGGTTAGGTAGAATTATTTTAGTTCTTAATAATGGTTTTACATTAATTATGATTTTATGAAACAGATGCGATTCTTTGGGACACATGTATTTTGCACAAAGAAAACTACAAAAAAAAAAAGAAAAGTATAATTTTCTCCACGTTTAAAAATGTATTTTAGTTATTTCCATTACATACGCAAAAAGGATAGTTAACGAAGTTAAATTCCAAAACACATATTTAGAAACGACAATTAGTTATTACAGAAAATTATGGAAGTATAAGCATCTTCGGTCAATCATCTTGTATAGTACCTATACTAGCGATTCGTTTTTACTTTTTTTATGTTTCTTTTTCGTAGATATTTTCTAGGATGYGTAATAGTTCATAATTTAGTTTAATTTTTGAATTTGCAATTTGTTTGCCGACAGGTCAAATTGTTGAAAACCCACACAGGTCCTGGATGCTTATGCGATCCGTCAATTTTCCACGAACAGCTTAGACTACAAACGACAGTGTTCGTTATCGCTAAATATAATGATCATTGTCGTTTCACGTTATTATATCATATCATTAATATTATATTATTTATATAAAATGTTATATAGTAATAATACCGTAATATAATGAACAATAAATAGAACATAGTATGGCGAAATTTAATTGAAAAGTCAGTCTGTTATAGAAGGTATAACTAATAACTATACTACCTAAACAAAAATAAACCCCAAGCGAACATACAAAATGTGTACTAAGCTATTTTGGTTTGGATTTTAGTTGAATGTGTTTTTATTTTTTGTATCTGCAATCATTTGGAGCAGTAAAAGTACATCAATTATATATAACTCCTGAGTATGGTTTCCGGTAGTTAATTTGATTTAATTTACACTTGGAGGAAAATTCCCAGAATTTAATGAAATAATCGGGAAAACAAAATTGCAAAAAAACTGAAATGTTTACTGCGGAATAATAATTTTGAAGAAAATTGATTTTGTATTTAGTGGTATCTACCTAATTCAATAAATGAAACAAAATCTGTCAACATAATGAAATAAGTAAATTATATTGTACCTGGTAAACGATGCATAATAGTATAGTAATCTTAATATTATTGCTTGGAATAAATGAGATATAAGATCTCAAATTGGTTGTTCTTCAACGATGTTTTAAAATATTATCGTAAATACATAATAAATAATAATACATATAGGTACGTACATTATGCGGTCTGGAACAGGTTTACAGTCCTATAATAATAATATATGAACCCTGGGGCCACGGACAAATTTTTTTACCAGTAAAAATTTTGGTGTGCACTCCGAGACTAATATACATTTGGGAACCACTGCAGAGGTATAAACCACAATGGGCATATTATTTTGTCGTTAATGTTTTCCACCGGGAAAATGCGCGCACTGCGACCGTACATGGCAGTTCTGAACGCGTTCCAAAACGAAGACGGAATATTGTTATCGTTTACCTACATTTACTCACAATTATTTATTTGTTGTAATGACATGCTGCAGTGACCGTTTACAGAAATCAGGGATTCTTACGGCTCGTTTTTTTTTTACAATATTACAATACCTACCTATGATATTATTATAAACATCGGTCTAAACATAATACAATACCTACCTAACCATAACATTACATACAATATTATTATTGTACGAATAAAATATATACACGATAATTGCTGCACCATAGGTGCACGTATAAAATAGTGTTTTGTGTTTACTGTGTTTTACTTATTGCTTACGTATTCGATGTTGGCGGCCGTAGGGTACGAACAAGGATAACAGTCCATGTGGCTGATTCCATTATCGTCCGAGTTGCATTCGCACGTCTGACATTTTGGCGCCGGCGCTGTCTTGGCGATCCTTTTAGCGAAAACTTGCAAAAACTTTTTCACAAGGTTTAAGTTGTCGGTTTCCATTTTTTTCGACGTGAACAACGAACCTGCATCAGATAGTAATAATAGTATTATCGTGTAGGTACAATACAAAACGAAACATCATATCAATTCACTAAATTCAATCAGATTTGATGCGAATACGTAATTATATGTATGATAATATGAAAGGTATAGATATATTATACAGTGTGATTCACCTAGCAAGCCCACCACTATATTTTCATTTAATATCAAATTTATTCAATAGTTCTGATTTTTGATATTTTTTTAATATACCTACCTACTCAAAGACTATATTTTAAAATTCTTGGATTTTTTAGATTTTTTAGATTTTTTATTATCTATTTTTCAAATTAGAACTTCTCCTTATTACTCCAAATTATTTAGAAAATATTTATTTTTTTTAACATTTGAGGTACTTTTTCGAAATTTGAACAAGTAGTTTCTTGATTATCAAAATGGTAGTACAAAAGATAATAGTTTTAAAAGGATTTAAAAAATAAAAAATATTGATGTAATATTAGATATAATATTTGTTATACTTTTAATTTTTAAGTATAATAGACCATTTTTTTTACATTTAAAAATGTTGATAGATCATAGATTAATATTTTTAAATCATTTGTAACCCCCATGTATATTAAACTCATTATTATTAATCTAGCTATTACCCTTATGTTAGTTACTGCACAAAGTTCACAACTCGAATTTTTGATTATGATACGTTAATGTCGTTATTCAGAATAATTATCCTCTAAAAAGAAGAAAAGAGTGGTCTCTAATAAAAAAAGAATATTGTACGTATCCCCAAATAACTTCTTATGATGTATGGAAAATCTCAAGAATAGAAAAATATAGATCTTAGATAAACTTAAAAAACGCCCTCTATATAGCATATTTTTTGCTTACACAGTGTTTGTGCCCGTTAATAATATTTTTTTTCTGATTTATATTTTTGAAGTAGGTAAGTGATTATTGAAAATGTTTACTGTATTAGAGTTATAGTTATTATAATATTTCATATTATAGATCATAGTATACAGTTTATACTTTAAACTTAATAAATAAACAAATTTCAATATGACKCGTGTCTTCGTGCTACTACTCATCAGAGACAAGTAAATAGTTAATTTATTGACCGCTTATTTATAGAATTGTTTTAAAAGAATGACCAATACTATTAAGTATTCAAACGATTGAGTTATTTTTAAAGTTTAGACGAGAAGAGAGTAGAGCGGGACTTGTGTGTTATATAACGGTAGGCAAGCGTCTATATAGTAGGTATTATACGCAAATACGAGGACAAACACAGTGAGACTGAACACTTTATATACTTTAAAGACATCGATCGCATATGAATATACCTATGACGTATACGTATGACTATAGTAGTGTTGTACCTCGCGAGGATTTACTTATTTAAAGTGTTGTAGTGTAACAATAGACAATCCGCAGCTCGTATCTAACTATACAATAACTTGTCAGCGAGACCACTTTAAAACGGTAAATTCTTCGCGGGACGTATATTTGTATAAAATTTCAGCGCGCTTAAAACTATCAGTAGTTCAATCGAGACAAACCGTTCGATTCCAAAACGATCGGTGTGCAGTATCCCAGCATGTTCTTCGTTAATTTCACCTGTTTTCTGAGGCCCGCGTCTCCCTTTAGCGCCTTGAAGTCGTTTCTCGTGTACGCCGTCTCGGCATCGACGCCTAAAACACACACACCCAATGACAAAACATTACTAGGTACTATATTTCATATACAATTAAAATATTACATTATTTATTTATCTACAAGTACAATGCAAGTTTATTATATACATTTATATTTTTTAATTTACATAACCGTTTACACCTAAATATTCCATATTTTATAATATAATAATACGCATTATCACTATACGCATCACCTGTACTCCTCTACCTGTATAGTGTCTACTTGTATACTTTATTTCAACGTACGATATAGAAACCCAACCTAATATCTATATTATCTTCTGCAAAATGTATAACGACCTCATTTGACTCAAACGTATAATTTCTAATTTTTACATTCCCTCGTGCAACGGTCTGCAATCATCTAAAATAATTATTCACATATTAAAATGAAATTTTTTGTTATTGATTATGCCTCATTTTTATAGTTGTTTAAAATGTAAGCTATTTTTATTGTGTTTGTACAATCAATATTATTTAATAAATAATAATTTTAATAAGTGAATAATAATCAATCTTGGATAATTTCAGACTGTTGCATAAGGAAATGTAAAAATTAGATATAAGTTAAATTCCATGAACACGGAAATTATGCTGTAATTCTCAAAGTTCAGGAGCATCAATGAGGCTTTAATAAATTTTTTCAGAAAATAGAATATAAAATAATATTTAGGTACTAGTTTATATTTTATGTTTATGTCTCTTCTTATTATACAACAAACAACCACAATTTAATTATTATCACCTAATTACATTGTGAAATGGACGTTTTCGAAAATAAAATAAAATAATTTTATTATTGTCGCATAAAAATTAAAAAATTCGTTTTACTTAAGACCATCTTAATAATAGCAATAACTTTATGTATAATATTTTAAGACCGAACGCTTATTTTGGCATGAAATCATTTAAATAACTGAGTTGTATAGACATAGATATCAGCTATGATAAGAAAAAATGTTCCTGCAATGCACCGATTTATACGCTTACTAATGTAATAAATTATTATATTATCATATTATTATGTATACATATATTATGATGTATTATTATTATGATTGCGTCTTCACTGAGACGTACATAGTCACTGTGTCTCGGTCGATGAATGGTATATTGGATTATTGGGCGTGTGTTTCATACCTATTTTATTTTGTACCGTATAATACTCGTATAATATAGGTAGGTATACATTTGCAGGCCTCCGTGTTATATCGACGAAACCGCACGAGCGCCGCCGCAATAATATATACAATTTTTTTTCTTCGACCTGTTGTCTGAAAATGCATACGTATATAATGATATCACGCCGCACAAATACAACGCGCGATTATTATTTATCAGATATAATATTATGCATAGGTACAATAGTATACTATACCTACGCGACGTTACACCATCATGACCGACTGCAGGAACAGGTACGCTCTCGGTTAATATTATTTATTCGCAATATAATATATACCTGCCTAGTGCCTACCCACAGTCCGTGCTGAAGTTATACAATAAATGCAGTACATTCACTAGGTACGATCTAATAATATTATATACTACCATAATATTCGTTCTATGAAGGCACGCGAGGTCTTTGCACTCTTGAAAATGGCCTGTATTGCTCAACTGTTGTCTGTTACCATCATAGAGCGTGGAGGTATAGCCTAGTGTACTATACAACTATATTTATAGGTATCGTTTAGATATTATTTATTATTTTTACCATGGTGTTTGACTTTAATTTGTTAAGACAGAATCGGTAAAAAATAGTGCTCAGGGCCTGCATTGCTCCGCGAAGTGAGCCAAGATTTTATAATATAATATGAATGCGTACAGGGTTGTATTATAATGGGCACCTATTAAAGTGTCGTGAACACTCTAACCGAAGTCTCATTTCTCTCCATGAAAACTGTAATCCAAGTTATTATAACGATTTAAATTCCCAATTATTGTCTAGAGAGAGGTGCAGCATAATTATTTTGGAAAACAAAAATAAGGATAGAGTGACAAACGGTTTGAACCTATATGAGTATTACTTTTGCACTCTCCAAGAACTCGATAACAGTGCAATAACAGAGACATCTGCATTGTTTTGGAAGTCAAAAATTAAGAAGAGGAAGTTATAGCTAAAACCATGGAACTACCGGATGGCAGTGTTGTGCTAAACAATTCCCACCAGGTTCTAGTTCTTTTCTGGTAAAAAAAAAATTACATTTAACTATAGGCATAAGTATATCTAATTCTTATTATACTTATAAGTTATAATTATCATACTCACGTTTAGTTAAAAAATACTTAAAATACCTTTTTAGATTCTGAGCGGAACGAGGAATGTATATTTAATTAACATATTTAAATATAAAATAGGTAATATCATCAGAATCAAAATATTGTGTGTGACTCAAGCATACTATATTATATTATGCTGTATCTGTAGTCTAATATGCAAAAAGGTTAAGAAACCTGAGCTATTAAGCCAAAATAAGTATACAGTTTTTTTCTCTCTACGAGAATTAAGAAATAGTGACTTTATACATTCTTCCTGGAACGCCTACGAGTGCAGTACACCGTATGCATTATTAGAATGTATAATACAAGGCACGTCGTATGTACGTTTCAAAATTTGCGTGCGATTGCAGGATGAGAGGATCTGCACGCGTTTGCGCAAAAACCAAACGCGGTCGTTTACGATATTACGGCGGGCACACATAATAATACCACAATTTATACAGTGTAACAGAAAGATTTGACCAAAAAAAAAAAATTACTTTAATTCAACGTATGACAAAAATTGTTAATATTATATGATAAGTAAATACGTTAAGAAATATACTCATGTCAGTTTATTCTCAAAAATCATATTTTTAAAAAAGTTATCAAGTTCCATATACCATATTAATTAAATCAAAAAAATATAAAAAATAAACTACTGGAATTAAATAAATCTTTTTATCATCAAATTTGTTTTTATAATCAGATTCACAAATAGGCTATTTTGAATTTATCTAAAATTTTTTTTCATTTTCAGTACTAAAAATAAACATAAAAAAAATGTATCATACATATAAGTGTCGCTTAATGAAGAAAAATATTAATTTGAATAAAATTTATTCCAAAAGTCAGTTTTATCTGTTACATCTTGTATACCTAGTATGACTATTATGATTATTATTATTATTATTATTACTGTCGTCGTGATCATATATGCACGAGATGTATACGGGATTTCGCGGTTAGCGGACGCGGTACCGACGAATTAATATATTATATCATATCATTGTGCTGTGCCGTGATATGATATCATTTGGCCCGTGTCGGTGCTGCGATAGATATCTAACCTAACCTATATTATGTTCGTATAGATTTAATTATTATCATAATGGGTATAAGGAACGCGCGGCTGCACGTCTTCGACCTTAGAGGTTGCTGCAGACGGCGATCGCGAGCTCATCGAAAATCGGTATTAACAAGAGAATATCAGTGCACTGTTTATTTTATCTCTCCGACCGCCTACGCGCCACACAGACAAAACTAATTTACACATAATAATTTTGTTTTTGTTTTTTTTTAGTGTGTTTTTGAGTAATGTTAAAGTAAAAACGTGCATTATAAAAACTATAGAAAATAATGCTATTGCAGAAGGAATGACATATCGATTTGTCTAAAAACATCATTTCAATTTTCATTTTTTTTTTTTTTAAGTTAAATACAAATAAAAATAAAAATTCAATATAAAACCAAAACATGTAATAGTCTCAAAAATATTATCTTCCATATATATTATATATAGGTAATTACTCAAAAATCTTATTAAACGAGTTTGAGAGAAAGCTTTTTATCTATGTAGCGCTTGGGTTTGAGAGAGAAAACATTATACATATTATGCTGACATCCACTTAAGCGCTATATCATAATACTACAATAAGTACAATATAATACAATAATGCTTCGTATATCGTTTAGGTATAGTTCGTTTTACTATAATATATACGCCACATTTAGTGTTAGGAAAGAACGTGCGTGCATCGCGTTCACGTTGATATATTTCAGACGACACGTGAACGTCATCGTCGCTCTCTATTATATTATATCAAATAGAACGCGAACGTGAACGAAATTCATATTTTTAAAGCAAATTGAATGATTTATAAGTCGTTCATACGAAATTTCGTTTTTAAAAATATGATCATGTAATTGTATTGACACTTTTTCTTTACAATGTGGAATCGACAAATCTATTAGCATACAAGGTTATTCCACTGAACTTTTTGATGTATCTAATTTAAAATTCGAATGAGTAGTTTCTTAKTTATTAAAACGTTTGTACTAAGGACAACATTCCTTAAAAATGGTTTTACAAAAAACTCCACTGGACACTCCTTAAGTAGTACAAAAAATCTCAAGAATTTTAAGATATAATATTTAATTGTAGTATATTATTAAACAATTTAAAAAAATATATTTAAATACTTGCGAAATTGAAGAAAAAAGGACTGAACATGATGGTGAGACTGTATAAAATTCTCAAAAAGTCAAAATAGTGTGATATTTAATATAAATATTTGTTAGAAATTCTAAGTATCTACCTACGGTTATTAGTTTTTAAGTTACATTAAAACATTAAATCGATTTTTTTCAAAAATTGAGTTAGGTACATTAAAATTATTTTTTTCTTTCAGTCAAGCTTTTTAATAGTACTGGGAGTTTTGAATTTTGATCTCTCAAAAGTACAAACTAAATTCACTTTTCTACCAAAAAAACTATAGTAATATTGAAAATCGAAGAATTTTTACTACCAAAATTAATGTTGATAACAGACAGAAAAAAAACACACACATCATTGTAAATACATTATACAACCTATTCTTTCACTGTATTTTAAGAATCTAAAATTGATAAAAATTTCAAATAAACTACAAAAACTAAAATACAGATAATTTTTGCAATTATTTCAAAAACTACAGTGGGAAAATTAAATTTTTGATATTTATTGTAAAGGAATTGAGTAACATCTTTGTTCGTATTTCAGTCTATATAATCTAAATGTATGGTTAATACTCAAGACTTGTGAGCCAATATTTTTGCTCGAATCTCTGAGGGAACGCACAAAACCAATTTAAAGGGTAAAACGACCATAATATACTATTATTTACACACATTTATATCGTATTCCCCGCTAAAAATATAAAGATAACAACAGGCTTATCCTCACCGTCCAGCGTCTAGAATTGTTTCAGAGCTTATGGCTTCGTACTAATCACTTGAGATCAGACTGTTAATAATGACGTACAAGCTACAATAAACGATAGCCTGCGTTTTCTTCAGTGACATACTAATAACAATAATAATATATAAACCAATTATTTTTAAATTTTAGTAATTTTACCCATTTTAAATAGTTGAACACATGACTCGTGATTTGTACACCAATCGATCCGTACGCATCTTAAATGTATATCATAAACAATTATATCATCAGTGCGGGGTAGGTAGTTAACCTGTATATATGTACCTCTGTATCAGTGGTGGCAAACCCACAGCACGCGTGCCAAAAGAGCACGTTTGTCAAATATTAATGACAAGCGAAAAATTAAAATTATGAACAGCATAATATATGCTGTTCATAAAATTTTAATTGTACAAAACTCAAAGAAAAAATTATATACATTTTGAAAATTATGATATTCCTATGTAAAATTGATTATGTTTCTATATTATCATGCTATATTTATTATGTTCAATTTAGTATTTACGAACTTTGCTGAGGGGTACATAAAAAATTGTCAAACTTTTGATTGCAAAAGTTTAGAACTAGACCCAAAAAAGGTTCGTCACCCCTGTTCTATATTATTGTAATTGTTAGTCATATCTATGCATAATGTCACTATTTTTTTTTCTGAAAAAAATATTAGGTAAATATTATATTTATAAATCTTTGAGATGATAATGTAATTAACTGTAGTTACAATTTATTAGTTGTTTTTTTTTTTTTTTAATTATGATTAATGACTATGTTATGTTTATAAATTTAATTTTAATATTGTAATGAAAAATAAGTGCATAATATCATATTATTATTTGTTACTTATTATGAATATGACATTTCATGTTTTCAATGTACTTAACGTGTACGATTGTGTTTAGACGAGAAAACAATTTTATATTTAAAATAGAGAAAGACCCCTCTCCCTCTACCACTGTTTGATTACCACCTGGGTACTCTTCAGTAGATATGTGCCATAAATTATTGTTCTGAAACGTAGCGAGAGTTCATTCTGAGGCTGTATAGCACCGTTCGCACGTATAATTTTAATTTGTATCGAAATGTTACTATTCCAATATCTTTCATTATGATTTATAAGACTTTGGTCGTAATATTGGGCTGGGCCGTCGCGATGCATGCGCAAAGCATTACTGCGCCGCGATGACGTAGGTATATGCATACACCACACGCGTCGTAGATGGGTACCTACGCAGAACACGCAATTTATTTTTCTCTTTCTACTTATTTATTTACTTCATTCCTTTTATAAACCATCACGCGGTGGCAACGGCGGTTGTTCAATATTATATTTTGTTATACACTTATACCTTTTTATATGTGGTAAATGGTAATTGGTGTGCCTTAATAGCAATAGGTTGTATAACATACTACAGTCCGAACGAGGGGAAAAATCGAAAATTGATCGCGTTAGCGAAAAGCATAAATATAACATGRGTATTGAATATTGTATGTATATGTGGCGCTCAAATATTTCAGACGTCCACGACCCTTGTGATTTATAGAAATATACTCAATATAGTGGTTTATATACATATAATATGATATAAATATTATAATTTTGATATTAACTTATAACTTAAGACGTAGTGGTCGAAGTGGTTTAAAATAACTGTAGAAGAAGATACAGACATTTCTTAAGTATATTCATATATGTAACTAGATAAATAGATATTTCAGCTCTTATAATACGTTTCGAATAGGTACTAAGATTACCTAAACATATTTTTTTTCAAAAACTATTTATTTATCGATAATGTAATTTTTTACACTTTGTAAGCATTTATTTGAAATATTCAATCTTTAAATCCATTCATAATAGGAATTGCCACGAAGGAATCACCTGACACTTTTGACGTGTTTTTTTATAAAAATATTTTCTTTTATGCAAAACCTCTACACCAGTCAAGGGCAAGGATCAAGGAGTTTTAATGATTAGCAAAGCGGAAGTGGATGAGCTTATAATAAGTAGATAATACTACTTCTGAGACTGTTTGAACTTTTAAGTCTTAGTGAAAAGTATGATTTGAGATATAAAATAGTACATATATCTTATCGTACGAAATATATTGATTGGAAAATGTGTATGCAATATTAAATTATGTTAGATTCCCTTAGAGCACGCCATAATTAGATGCCATAACCATTTTATGTATTATTATAATTAAAATCATTGCTATATCTAAAATAGGTACATTGTTTAGGAAAAATTTAGTATGAGGATGAAAAATGTAAGCTATAATTACTTTACATAAGACTACCACTGTATACGATAATATACTGATTATACATGACATTGCAAGTATCACCGCCATTGCAAAATCCTATCTCAATTTTTTTTTATATAGTACGCATGATGTTTATTTTTTGGTTACAAAGCCCAAATAAGAAAATAGCACGTGACCAATCAAAACGTAGGAATCACGGCGGTCGAGACATTGTACAGGGTGCTATAATTATTGATTTAGCACGAATCAAAACCAGATGAGAAGGTAGTACTGCTCGCAGGCATGACCGATTTCGAATAGAGAAAATAAATGATCCGAATTCGAATCGCTGGGCTGAGGGGTTTTCGATTTCTTTCGAACACAGTATACTTGAAGTAGGTACCTATTTAATAGTTTCGTGTAAATTGTAATACTTCGCAACACAACCCACTGGATATAATTATATATAATACAGTGCATCTATATAATGCGATACAATGCAGTTGCAGTAGGTACCAATAATAATAATAATAATATTATTATTATTATTATTATTATACACGGTCTGACACAGAGTACCATCATACAGCATGACACGACGAAGCCTTTAAATATTAGTACCTACCTATATTACAATATCATACAGTTTATAACAACAGTCGGTTCGTTCCGCGTGTTGAACATTTATCTAGCTACATTTCATTGTTTAGTCTCCAGAGTAGTTCAATGTGTACCTATATTATTTAACCAATAAACATACATGTATGTAGTTACTATACATAGATATTATTATTTACTGTATACAGGTACTATTAAACGACCGATCACAATTATTATAAATAAATTAAAACGCAATATTAAGTAGCGCTCCCCTTGGAGAATTGAACAGTATAAGTTTTTTAGGTGTATAGTTATTTTATGTTCCACCGTATTGGGGAAGAGTCCATGTGAATACATTATAATATAAATAAGACATAAAAAAAAAAATTAAAAAAAATATGTGCACTAACCGAATAACGAGCTCCCCGCTCGTGACTTATCAAGAATGAATGGCTTGTCCATTAAAACATGTAACTTTATACTTTTCTCCGTAATTATGTGGTTGATAACGGAATAGTCCAACTAGAATAATACGAAATAATTGTTGTAAAACACCGGGCATTATATGCGTGCTCTACTTGTAGACACTTGTGATAAATTAAATGTAGTTATAAGAATTTGGTTACCATCATGTTCGACGGATCGCAGTCGCTGCACGGAAACAGTAAAAATATTATCGAATGTGCCGTCCTGAAACGCAACTTCGACGCGAATCGAATGGCGTTGAATACGTCTGAATTTCCGTTACCTGTAAAACATCGATTGAATAATAGAGGTTTTGAATTTGTATTATTTTAAATTGAAAACATCGTCCGATCATTATAAACTATAATACAGTGTAGCGGGAATCCAGCTCTTCATAAAATAATTATTTTATAGCCCCACAATATTATAAATGACGATATTAATTTATATAAATTATATATAGATACCAATTTGTATGTTGCTCAAAAACTGTAAGAATAGGGTTGGGCTTGCAAAAATTTGACCGTTTATTACAACACTGTGAGGCTCGTCGAATAATCCGTTGCCACCAAAGAAAACAGCTGAAAATCTGAAATCGCAATTAAATTCTATAATGATTGGCTTATTAACGATTGTATTTTAAATAAAAAATAGTCAAATAACATTGTTTAGTATAGTCAAAACTGATGCTATTTTTAGTTTTCAGCCAAACTGAATACTTTTCATCGACAATTGTTGAATATTGTTCATATTTTTATAAATTTTACAGCAATGTGAAATACTGTCCATCATACTGCTAGATCCTTTGGTCTTGCCCAGTCAATTTACTTCTTGAGTATGAACAAAATATTTTTTTATGCAGTATTTTTTCTATTACTTTTTCTATTTACTTTATTACTAATAATTATATAATAATGATAAAAAAAAATTAAAAAAATTAAAATTAATAAATTTTATATTAATTGTAATTATATTAATTGCCTATTTATTATATTCTGAAGAGGTATTTTAAAATAATTATAGTAATTCTATACCTAAAATATTGACGAATGATCTATGTACGCAGCTTTGCAAAATAAGTAAATGCAAGTGTAGGGAAAGTAGACAAACGTTGCAGTTTTAAGTGTCATTCTATGAAATCACATTAAAAAAAAATAGGTGACAACACAATTCTAAATATTATTTTTATTTATTACAATTAAAATTGTTCAGCATATAATGCATGCTATTACAAGTTTAAATAATTTTAATATTACAAAAATTTAATTATTTATTTCTTATGGCGCTGTGTTATCAATATTAAACACATGATTACCATCATTATTTTAATTGTTTTAAAATATTCAGAATAATATATGATAGATAGGTGATAATGAAATTATATATCAATATGATATAAATTACTTTGTAATAAATTTAGTAGAAAATATTGTACAAAAGAATATTTTTTTATATTTAAATTTCCCAGGAAATACCGAAAGTCCTGGCAGTGTGTACACTATTCAATATACATTTATCAGTATATGTAATTATTGACTGTAAAATATTATAATATATAATAATATAATATAAGGTATAATGAGATATCGTTGTATGGTGAATTTATAGGTATAATTTTTCACCTATTTATACTACTATTTCATATTTTGTCATGTCAAAATAACACTTTTATTTATTTCAACGTTATAACTTTATCAAAATGTACCAACACGAGGACTGACATATTTTTAAGATGAACTCTACTAGCTCAACCTTGACGCATTTATGCTACGTGGTTTACGTTCTTCGAGACAATAGCCTATTAAAATAAATATTTTCGAAAGGTAAGGTGATAAAATATTTACAAAAAATCCATGAGTACCATATTAAATTAAGTACATATGACTTAATAATAAAAATCGATACTTACTCTATTTAATACACATTTACGTATAAACGCATTAATATAGATACCTATTTATAATGTATAGAATTATAACCTATAACATTACTTTAGACGACCGACAATGTATATTATCTAACAACCTATCTAAATTATACGATTATACTGAATGAAAACTAACTTATTTTTCTTCTTTGTCGTAAGAGATGTTATAATGTTAAATGTTTATAATATTAGGTACATCTATTAAACTATATTGAGTGGGTATACATTTTTATTATTTTTAATGGGTCGATTATTTATGGTTGTCATCAAATATAGTTACGCAATAACGAAAGCAATGTTAATATTATTATCGTCGTATGATTCGGTGATCGTTCGGTCCTAAGCAGATACCTTTAAACAATTTATTATAAATGCTCTTCCAAATTATTTATATGTGCAGTAGTAATAGTTTATTAGTTTTTTGCTTAATGCGAAGTTGAGTAACAGCTGTATCCTGCCACCATTTACAGGTTGATTCACAAAGTATGGTCTGAGTTCACCCCTTTTATCCCATGATAATGTAATTATTATTTTAATCTCTGGTTTTTAGTTTTTTTTTATTATTATTAATGTAATACCTACCACAGCATGTTCAAATATGAACTAAAATTATTTATACTATTAAGAAGTGCCTCGAGGTGATTCAAACATATTTTTTTTTATCAAATTACAACCATCGTTTAAATGTAAATTGTCAAGAGGTTATTTGATGAATATGAGGTTCATCTATATTTATAAATTTAAATCATCACTGGAAGATTTTTAGATATTAAAATGTACATACTAAAGATAATAATTTATAGTAGGTAATAGTTATAAATAAAATGACAAATATGAAACAGTAATAATAACATAATATTTTATTTGGATCTGACATAGATAGTACTTAATTCTTTATTATTACACATAGAAATTTTTTTTATAATTTTTTCAAATGAATAAAATATTTATAATTATAATTTTAAAACTATCATATATAGCAACTATAAAATCTTTTAACCTATTATCTTTGGCATAACTTTGTTTATTTTTATTGAAGAAATATAAAAATAAATTTAAGTTATAACTTTAAGTGCTATATGCCTATATACAATTTATAATATACCGAAAATTGTTTTAACTTTTTAACTTACTGTTAATTCTCTTATTAGGTAATTTATTTACTTAACTACATTAATAAGGCTTGTTCTAAGTAATAACTTTAATTTGTGAAATAATTTGAAGTTATAAATTAAATTAAAACACGTTAACAGAGAATGATATTGTGATAATTTAGTTAAAATTAGAAGTGAATTAAGTATTTTTTTTTTATTTTTTTATCACAGTGTAGTTAACGATATTAAATAAAAGTACACAAATAAATATTTAATTTATGGTTGGTTTAATAATTTAGAAGACGCAAAGTTATAATCACCTAAGCCATTACAGCATTTAATAAAAATAAGAAACCATAAAATAAATTGAAACAAAATTATTAAGTATTTAAAAATTTTGAAAGTTGCACAATCATAATGATTAATGTGGACTTGGGGATAATTAAAAAAATCTAAGCACTTATTTTTAACAGATTTAAGTTTATATTTTTCTCCATATTAATTTTAAACTATCAAAGCAAAATATATTATTTGGTAACTATTAACGTTATGAATTATGATTGACTTATTAACACCAATCTAACTAGACTAATTCAAGTTATTTTTTTCATTAACTTCCCCGCTTTTGTTTATACGATTGTCGGTCAGACAATATAAATATTTTAGTGACTTATAAATTATAAAAACATTGATTTTATAATAGAATAAATAAAATAACATCAATACTAGTAATTATCTACATTTTACATAATAACACGACGCTCACAGAAAAATGATATTCAATCATATAATGGTTAAAAAAAAAGCGGGTAAGCGGGTAACGGTCTGTTGTCTAGAGCGTCATTGTAATGGATGTGTTAAATTTAAATTCAATTATATAAAATCATTATATACCAAGACGATTCGATTACTAATTAGATATATATTTTATGATATTATTGTGAATAAAGTAATTTATTTTACTATATGATAGCATTAGTACTATAATTGGTTAAATTCGATTTTGTCGAAAAAATTGCAGTTGAATATGTCATTATCAATTCATGTATATGAATTATATTAATATATATATTCTAAAAGTTTCAAATACTCACGAATTTTACTTATAAATTACAACAAAATAACTAATATCGTTATTTTTCTTAGTTTAAATATGTAATATTATTAATGTCTATCTACGGTAATTTGTTTCAGAGTTACACCCAAACCCAAAATTGATTTTGCCGAAACCCTATTTTGCGTAAAAATTACCGTTTTTCCTAATGAAAACTTCTGAGAGTTTTAATTTTGACTTCACGAATGCACCATCTAGATTCACTTTGCCACCATAAAAATATTGAAGTTGCAAATCGAAGCATTATTTCTACTACTTATCGTGTACAGCCGTACAAGACACACACACACATAATTAGTAATTACATAGAATATACAACAAATTAGAGCTTGTCGTTGCTACCATAATACGCATAATACTATTATGATCCCTGTACTTAAGGTTAATAATAACACTGAAATAAGTAATAACTAATCTAAATTCTGATTTGTAAAAATTTATTTTTTCTGTTTCTATCGATATCGGTACCTACCAGAGTGCAAAAAAGGCTAAAAATCAATGTTTCACCTCATTATTCGTATAAGTCATTGATTATTACTTATGTTAATTTTCAAATCATTTTAAATAGTTATCAAACAAAATAAAAAACATTGCAACAGGTATATCATTTCCACATTCTTTGTTGTGCCCTAAAAATGCGAAATCCAATTAGACATTGCATGGTCCGATATTAGTTAGGAATAAAAAGGAATCAACTTTCGTAAATTTTTGTTAAACCGAAACGTTTGCGGTCGAGTTCTAATCTTTGATCTTTCTGATGTAGGTATGGTTATACTCACTTGTTGTTCGTCATCCCAACATCGTGCAACTCTTTGACCATCATCGTGAGCAGGGTGTGCACGTTCTTTTTTTCCGCAAAGTTCTCGTTGCATTGTTTGGCCTCGACGATGAACACGATGTCGGCCGACGACGGTACGTGGCTACCGTTGATACTCAAGAAATCGCCCTCGGTGATTTCCGTGTTGTTTATTGCGTGACACCTGTGGCGAAATTCGGGCGACACCGTAAAATATAGTTATAGCGACATTACGGATCGGGCAAAATGGATTATTACACGGTATAAAATTATCTACGTAGGGATTCGTCTGAAATTAGCTACACTAATCACATACAATTCTAGTTTTGAGCTAATTTTTTTTATCAAATACCATATTATTTTACAATATGCAAAAAAAAAATTTTATTTCTTATAAATTATATAAGTATTATATGATATTATTTTGGTATTTAACCAACGTAATGTAAGAGCCTACCTTTTTACTATAAGTTGTTAAGTTTAAGTGGAGTATTTTGTAAGATACCAATGAGGAGATGTAAATAAAAATTTGAATGAGTAGATTCAAAGTTACTAAATTTTCAAAGTATCTGAAAATATGGTCTTTGATTTTATTTAAATATTCCATCAATCAGAATCAAAATAAACTAATATTGTTGATTTATTCCAGAAAGACAATTTTTTGTCCCAAACAACCAAACCTATTTTAGAAAATAACTACTGTTATTACCTATTTATACTAATAATAATAAAAATAATAATATTAAATGGAAAGATCCCGTATTGAAAGCTCATGTGACAGGCCATTAAAAAAATTAAATAATTTCCGACCACTGACCTGACACAGTTTGTCGGTGTACGGACTGGCAGATTTTCTATGGAGCACATTTCGCTGTAGGCGGTCGCCGATGTACACGTCTCGTTTTTGTTGGCTTGTTTCAGACACAGGTCGTAATATGGACTAGGGTTTATCTGCAAAATATAAAAAATGTACGATAGGACGTACTAGTATATTAGTTACCTACAGTCCTACATATAGATATTATCACAGTGTCATTATCGTGTGACCGGAGTTACGGTGTATAATAATAATAATAATATGATGTACCGGCCGGGTATTCGATTTAAACAGTGACCTGCAAGAATATCGCCTGTTATTGTCATTTATCGGGAATGATGTAATTTACATTTACATCATGTTAAATATAGGCACTATTAATGCTTATCGTACAATTCTACGATCGACAACCGTTTTGAAATTCTATTATAGTCTAGATTTGTCGTGATATTATGTTGTACCTATTAAAGGCTCTTTCTTTTGCAGGCTTTCAAATATCTTTAGAAACGTTAATTCTAAAATCCCAAAACAGTAAATTTGAATTTTTCAATTATTTGCGAAAAGCTGAATAATCTACACTAAGAGAATTAAGTGATTGAAATTAATAAAACAAAAATGTTTTAGAAACTCTTATGGGAGTATAAGGATTAAGGACACATTAAACTGATTATATATGACTATTGTGTATAGGCATTAAGTACATAATATACATTATATTTATTTTATATTCACTGTTGGAGTTTGAATGATTAACTACCATCTATTGCTCTAAAAACCTTTTGTAAACCCTATTGTGGGTTAATCATAATAATATTATGTATGTATTTACGTATCTATACAATACACCAATAGCTATAAAAATTATTTTAATAAGATTTACATAGCGCAGATAGAGTGCGGGTACAACGGCATGCCAAAATTCAAATACAAATAACTGACGGGTGATGGAATTATATTATATAAAAATGTAATAACTTGTAATAACGGTCTTTTTTAGCACTAAGAAGAGTAAAATCATACTTAAGATTAAATATGAAAGGCAAATACTAAATGCAATGGCGTTCCTAAATAATATTATATTATTAAAAAAACACATCTAACCAATAACAATATTATTAATATTTTTACTGTCAAATAAGCTCGTCAAAACTTCTAAAATTTATATTATTTTTACTATCATTAATTGTTCAGTATATTATTTACAGTACCTACTTGTATTTTTCTATTCTTATTTTTAGGGGTTAGGCTATTATGTGGGCAGCAATACAGAAATATTATAATACTATTGTCCAAAGACGTAATACCTGCTTACATGATTTTAATTAGGTATCTGCCTACTATCAAAATATTATAATATCAGTAATATCACATATTATATATTATTATCGGTTTTTTCACTGCATTATAATTCGTTTCTCTGTATCTACTCAGAAATTGATTTACATTTTTTACAGAGCGAGATACTGATATAAGTATTAAATGGCGCGTGGTTTTCATCCGACATCCTAATCTAAGACTCGCGGCGCCTGTGACTCGCTGTTAAATCCGGTAAGCATATCCGCTGGCCGCTGCCGTTACTGTATGACTGTATGCTATTACCAGAGCTGTGAATTTAATGCACTCTAAATACATGAAATACGAACGCAATAATTGTGCGCTCAGCAATAAGAAAATAAACATTACAAAAGGTATAAATTAAATATTCCGGAATATGTGAAATTTACTTGATGAAAAAAAATTAACAATTATATTTATACTTAAGTAAATATATTATGTATGGTTAGGTTAGAATAGTAGTGTTCAAAGGTAGGTAGTCATAAAATATAGTAAGCGTAAAATATTAAGCTTGTACATTAGCAAAATAAATGTGTATTATAACAAAAAATACAAACGGTATTCATATTAAAAATAATACGCATTATACATTTTCGCTGCACATGAATTGCGTCCCGAAATCTCTTTTCCACATGAATTGCGTCTCAAAGATATTTAACGACTACACGAATTTCGTCCCAACCATATTTTTAACAACTACCCGAATTGCGTCCCAACGTAAAAACATTATTTTCCTTCTCATTTCATACAGACTTAGGACTGTCGATAGCAAATTACGACTAACAGTAGGTTAAAAATATTGTTTTTTTATCATTGTTATGCAATTAGATGTGTAAGTAAAATAAAATGTGTAGGTTAATAATATAATAATAATAATATAATAGTTAAAAAATAAATATATATCAAAAAAGTTATAATTAAAAAATTAAAGCCTACATTTTATGTAAAAATATTATATAACAGGTACTGATTTCGACGATTCCACAAACCAGTATTTTTTTCCCAGATATGAAATAAAAATAAAAAACATTAAAAAGATAGCTATATACACTATTGTATGAAAAATTATCCAAAATAGATTTTATAATTAGAACAATATTGTAATATTTTATATAATATTTCTATTTTACTTTTTTTCATTTAGAAATTTAGAATGTATTTCGTCGATACAGAAATTCATTGCATCCACAGCCCTAATTATTGTTTATTATTATTAGCTTCCAAATATCTGATTAACTCAGAAATTGAATCAAAAAAATAAACATAACTCTCTCCCGAAAAAAAAAGAAATACAATATTCCTTACTATAAACACCGTTGATTTTTCTGGTTATAAATCAAAATCATTAAGGCATTAAATAATATTGGTCGCAAAAATTATGAGGGAACTTTCTTCCCAACAGGGTACGTCATTTTGTTTTTGGTAGTTCCGTCCATTTATTATTATGGTGAATGGTGATGGTTACACGACGAATACGAATGACGATGAATATTACTAATATTATGCGTACCACGGAAAAGCAGGTGAATAGTGGTGAGGTCTTGTGTTTGAAATAACTGTCACAGATCTCCACAATTTGTGCGCTGGGCGACGATTTCCTCTGGAGAGACGGATACGCGCTGCAGCTGTTTTCGTTCAATGACCAGCTCTCAGTGAACTTGTACAAGTCTGGTTCCAAGTAACCATTGGACGAAAGCATGTCGTCGATGGGCTCATTGTCCAGCGTTCCAAGCAATCCCGCTGTCTTCCCGAAATACCAACCTGAAAAAGTCGTGTAACAGAAAGCATACATGTATGTAATGGTATAATAGTTATTATTAATTGAAACAATACTATTTCGATATTTGATCAATTTATTATTTATTATAGTCAATAATAATTACAGTATACTATTAATTTAATTATTTTAGTTTATTTTAATCATCAGCACTTAAAATCTTAAACCATTAAATAACGAAGATCTTGGAATAATCTTAGATGAATATCTTTATTAAAGACTATAGTTAATAGTTAATAATACAAAATAATTGTTTATATGTATACTTTAAATTAAAACATTTAATAACATTTTAAAAACTATTATGATATCACCTAAATCTGAGAAAAATTTAATTTTAAAAGAGAAAGTTTATGTAAGACCTTGAAAAAAGTTGTTTTTTAGAAAATAATTGTTCTATACCTCAAGTCTCAAATGCATAAGATTGGATTCGAGAAGCGATTGATAAAAAATCTGTTCCAGTAATTTAATGATTTTTAACTTTCAATCTAAATTCTAAACCTGTTTGAATCAAATATACTAATAAATTCTAACTTTTATTTATAACTATAGAATTACCATTTTGTTATGTTGTTCCTCTTTTATTTCATCTATTGATGATTCAATAAATTTTCAAGTTAATCAAAATTATTTTCATCAGTAATGTGATAATGAAGTATTGAAGTGTGATTATAAATATACTGACTAATATTATTAAAAGTACAATGTCATGCACTCATACCTACTCCTTAAAAAAAAGCTTTATCTTTTAGTTATTTGATACCTATAAATTTAACTTGTAAAATTATCATCCAATGAGTCTTATTTGATAAGGAAATGTTTTTATAATCATGTTAATTACATTCAAAATTAATCTTTTAGAAAATTAACACTTTTAAAACTCTTTTATATAGTTGTCGATGACGAATCAATTTTATAAACATTATATTTTCCATAATTTCGGTCTTAAATTTAACATGCATGTATAATGTGGTACTCATATAATATATTGGTCAAATGTCAAAATATGATCGTTTCTTCTATCCAAAAAAAATTTTTTCAGATGTTTATCTTATAAATATTAAAAAATTATATGTAATACGAATTTCTCACCCGGGTTAAAATTGTATTGGTAGGTAGTTTTTTTTAAAATTAATTCTCTATAAACCAGATATTTTACATTACATTTTAAAGTGTTATTTTAATTATTTCATAATATGATTGATCGACTTAAACTCCTTGAGTGAATAAACGAAGGAATAGGTGTAACTTAATCAATTCTAGGAAAAAAACACGCATTTGATTTATCAAACATAAATACAAAACCTATGGGAACATTTTAACAGTGTTGTGCAATAGCTAAATTTAGTTAGATAAATGTATCTAGATAAAACAATCGTATCTTTTATCTTATCTAGATAAATTACACAATTGGTATCTACCTGTCATCTAAGATAGAAAACTTCGTCATCTAAATTAATTTATCTAGATTGTTCACGAGACGTAGTCTGAAAAATATACGAACATCATATTTTCTGATATTATTTTTAAAATTGTATAATGAATTATACGTATATATTTAGGTACCTAGAATTATTATTATCATTTGTCGCTAATGTGCACCACTTTTAAGAAATTAATAATAATAAGTGTATCATTGATCGTCGATAGACAACAATAGATAAGCTTTATATAATAATATTAAATAATTTCAAGTCGAAGGTCTAAGAATAACCTGATAGACGATAGTACTGGAAAGTGGGAATATTGGTATTATAATAGTTTAAAAATACCAATAACTAATAAGAATAAACCACCAGCTCCACTCGGTCCACTCACCATTCACCAACAACCTTTATTAATTAACTACTGCAGTCTGCAAGTTATAAATATTTCATTTATTATTATTCATTGCCTATGGAAAAAGTATCATACCATCACAATTGAGTATTGAGATATATAGTCATAACTCATAATTGTATTAATATTTTCTACAAACCWAATAYAAAAAATAAAATTTAACAAATTCATGTTTTAAGAATAACATTTCTAAAAAATCATCTCATTTTCATCTAGATAAAATTGATTTTATCTGTATGTATATCTAGATATATTTTAATTTATCATTATCTATCACTAACTAGATATATTTTGAGTTCATATATCTTATCTATATCTAGATACAAAAAAATTATCTAAGCACAACACTGCATTTTAATGTCTGTCGGTAATATGAAAAATAATTTTGATTTGTTTTCCACCATAGATAGATACGTTTTTTAACTGTTAAAAATAATTTAACTGGATTTATTAATAAAGGTGCTTTAAGTAGATTTTTCATCTACCATTTATGATAAATAATTTTTTGTCCAAACATGTTAATTTTATGTTATAATGTCATTATTAAGCTAAACAAGTTAAAAAAGTTTAAAAATTAATAGTTTAACAGCTTCATTGTTATAGTATTTAAATGATAATACGTTTAATGTAGGTAGGTATAAATAATTATTTGCCTCTACTCTTTAGTCTTTATACATAAAAAAAAAATATAATTTCGATCATAACGATTTTTAATGTATACTCAACAATGACCGGATAAATATAATGACAAGACAACAGCAGCACACAGAAAAAAAGTCATAAGTATTTATTTTTCTGAAAAATATTGTTAACGGAAAATCCTGATTTATATTACTAGCATTAATACTATATAAAGTTATGAGCAAATATAACAGTTAACAATATAAAATTGAAAAAATAATCTGTATGATAGGCGATACTTGACGAACATTCATCTCAGTGTTTACACACCTCAAAGATATTTTCATATCATACATTTATTTTAAGCTTGTTAATTGTTTTATATTTCGAATTTATCAAGGTTGGTTTAAGAATGAACTTATGAATTAATTTGATGTGGATAATTTAAATCTAAATTCAAATCTTAAAACAATCTTTAATATTATTTACTATTTTCATAATATCATCAATAAATAATCACTAATATTAATGATCACTAATGTACATACTAGATACCAAATTCATCTTACTATTTAAATGTCTATATAAATTAATAATCATGTTCAAATTGTTAAAAATGTACCATTGTAAATATCAATAGATGTAGATATTCAAGGCTAGGAACATCTTATCTTATCTTAATATAAAAATAAATAAATAAATAAATAATCAATGTTTAATGTGTTAAAATATTTAAAAAGAATATTCCGTTTTTATTTAAATTTTTTAAAACTATTTTCATACACTTGGGAAAATTTTACCAATACTTTATTTATTTTATAAGAAAATATTTACTTCCAAGTAATTGAAGTGAAAAATATATTGTTTATGATAAATGAACCAATAATGATAAAACAATAAACCTGATTTGTTTGAAAAATGGAAAATGTTGTACGATAATCACAATAGAACTTGTTGGGCATATAATTATTATATTATATTTAAGTTGAAAATATTTTATAAATTGGTGGGAAAATACATAAATGAGTTTGTTGTTTATTCTTGTAACCATGATTAATAAAGTAATAATCGAAGACTATATAAAAATTATATAAAAACTTAGTCAAAAAGATCAAGGTCAACAACATTGAATAATTGAAACAAAATATAATATTATGCATAAAAAACTTAAAATTTATCATGGAATTAATATTGAAACCACACTAAAATAATAATATTTTAAGTATATTAATTTGTTTATTAAACATGATTTTGATTTTTTTTTTGAATAATTGTTGTTACATTGTTGTAAGTTACATCAATTATTATTTAAAAATTTAAAATATGCATATAATAGGTAGAGAATAAATGTCAAATATATTTTTTAAATAGAAATAATTATAGTGAAAATAACTTCTTGATAATATTAAAATCAAAGAATGGATGATGGATCTTGATTAGCCAACTACATTATGTTTAGTATTGAATTGTTTTTAAATAGAGAGTAGGAAGATTTAAGTGAGAAGGAGTTGGGGACAATGATGGTTTAATGGAGGGACAAGAAAATGAACTTTATTTCATAATATAGAAGCTTCAATTTCAGAATTGATTAATTTAAAAAAAAAAAACGATTACTACATCGTCTCTTCTGTCTAATAAATATTTTAAATTAAGTACGCTAAAAACAGAAGAGTTATCATGCGGAGAGTAATCAATTTTTCAGAATAAAAGCATACAGCATGAGAAATGTGCAATGGACTCGACATTTATTGACAGTTGTGAATGGACCTCAGACAACTTTACTGTATCATAGTTTAAAATTGAATGAACGCTAAAATACTAAATATATTAAAAGAGGAAGTCAATTTGACATCTACGCAAATACATTTATTAACACAGCTAACAAATTAGAAGTTTTAAAAGCCGTATTTTCAATAGGTAGAAAAAATAAATCATAATTTTTCATCAAATATGTAGTCAAAATTAATAAACTTGTTCTAAACAAAATTAAAGCAACCCCTTTCAATAGATAATAAGATACACTAAACTATTCTGAATTATAAAATAGGTAAGTCATATAATTTCTACGAAAAAAGGTCCAAAAACATAAATGACTGTCAAAGGAATGAATGCTACGTTTTGTAAATACATTGAATGACTACAACTCTTTAGACTCAATTTTATAATGAATCCAAAATAAAAAATCAATAAATACGTAGCAAGATTATCGAAGACTAAATGATGCATGAACTCTTTTTTTTTAGAAAACCGTCTAAGGCGATTTAATTTTTTTTGAACATCAAATAATATTTTTGTATCATCAACATTAATATTTAGAATTTTTTCAGAAAACCGAGCAATATCAGGATAATATTGAAATAATAACCCTAAAGAAAAAAGTGAAACCCAGTATTATCATTACGAGTAATTCGACAACAGCAATATACGATTTACATCAATTAAAAAGATAATCAGTTTGAAAGTATAGTTAGTATAGAATACTATAGATACAGCTAAAAATAAACTTCATATCATTAATAAATTAATAATAAAAGAAATTAAAATATGTTCATTATTAATTAGTGACAAAACATGAGAAGGAATTTGCGAGTCGTGGGACTTTATAATTTTTAGGTATGGCACTAAAAAGTTTCAAAATCAAATAGATATTCAACTGTTTGTGATTATTCTTTGTCACGTCTTAATTTAATTTATTTTATTCTAGTTTTTGTACGTTTCGTTGTTTTTACTTTTTATTACATATTTACTACATATTCAGCAATATTTAAGATAATATTATATGGCAGATTTTTGAAATTTTAATTGATATAAAATCTCAAACTAAATTATTTCTTATAACAACCTTTCTCCACCTTCATTATTTAAAATTCTTAGGCACGCCATCACCACTGTTGTCAACTTTTATATTTTATTGATTTCATAGTTTCATACCTCTACGGATAGCAAAGACATTTACTGCAGGTCAGCTAAAGTTGTTCGTTTTATTATAATTACCCAATTACTATATGACGAATACTTTGAATTTATTTTATCAAAGTGTTTCATTATTTTTCAATCGCACTCATGAAACAATTTGGTGGAAATAAATAATAACAAGATCACACGTATGCTTATGTACAAGACGTACCTGTACAAGTATTTATACTTGAAATTAATTTAAAATCACTAAAAATGCAACAAAATATTATATACATACGTAAAAAAATCGAGTACAATGTATATTAGAAATACATCTGTTCCATCCAACTTACGCTCAAAATAAGAACCATACAATATAATATAAAATATAGTTTTAATAATAATATTTTTATTTGTGACCTAAATTTATAGATATTATTATATCAATATAAAAAAAAAGCGGGTAAGTCGTGTATGTCGCTCTGCTGTACAGTAGGTTACTGTAATGGATGGGATTAAATTTGAATGCAATGATAGGTATCATTGTATAYGAAAAACGATTCTGAACGGAGATGATTTGTCAGCCTAAGATATATTATATTTAAATATTGTCATATATTCTATTTTGAAAAAAATATTTTATTTTTAAATTAAGACGCATTTTGCATAAGGCATGGTTAATCAATTAGTGTAGTTATTATGTAGTTATCATAATTCATACCTTAT